TTTGTACTCTCCCCTCCCCCTGGATGGGATGCTAATCCATCACATGATTCCTCCCCGTTTTAAATTCGCCTCCACCCATTTACACACACCTGTAGGATGTCTAGGGCGCCATAACCATTAGGCCGCCACGCTTTTCCAGCTGGATACATTGCAGAAGATTAAACAAATGCAACATTTCCAATTAGTTTAATAGTTCAATTGTAAAAAGCTACGAGCTATGACAAATTAATACTCTACGTTAAATAGTTATTAATCATACATTTTAAGCTACCGTAGCAGCTACCATTAAGACTAGCCGTCTACAGTTAAACTGAGAGATCGTCAGTTACTCGACACCTTTTCGCGTTTATTACATATACCTTGAATATATACCTTTAAATATAAACCTTGTACTGATGGATTCTTTATTCCCTTCAATGGTGTTCTTTCTTTTTTTTAAATGATGTTGAGTTCATCTTTGGATCTTTGGGCCAGTGAGTCATGTTACTGCTAGTTAATATTTCATCGACTTACTGTAATTTGCGAAATGAAAATCTGTAACTTGCTAAATAGAGTCAAAATCTGTAATTTTCGAATTTGCAAAATAGGAAATCTGTTATTTGCGGCATTGACTCGAAATCAGTAATTTGTGAAATGGAGTCCGAAAATCTGAAACTGGCGAGATGGAAAATCTATAATTTGCTGGTCAGAATTCTGTAACTTTGGAAACAGAAATCAGTGCGGCGGAAAACTCCATCGAGCGGTAGAGTCAATCGGAAAGTGCACCACTAGCCGTGGATTGCATTAAGCCTGATGGACTTTTTTATATTATGTTTTTACTGCCGTTTTTTTCCTATAAAGCAATGAACTTCCTCACGAGTTGCACCTCACAAGTACATGCAGCTGTGGTGCTGATTCACCAGAAAGGAGCAACTCATGACTAAAATTAAGTAGAACTATAAAAGTAAAACAAACAAGAATCGTAGTGGGGTCTATCTGCACTAGCAGACAAAACTAAAATTGTCCCGACAAGATCAAAGGACAAATTTTGTCGACAAATATTTGTCTCCTTTGTTGCATCCGCACTTAAGATTTCGAAGCTGTCAAAGCTGTAAAATTCGGTCAACAGCTAAAAATAACACCGATAACGAAGCTTTTCCTTTCCCTTTGCTTCGAGTGGGCACTTGCGGATCTTGTGCCACCTCTACTGCTTCATTGTTAGACGGCTTTAATTTTCATTTGAATTTAAACTCCAGTTACCAGAATTCATCTTAATTTGTCTGAATTTGTAAAATTGCGAGTTTCGCAACTAAACACAATTACTGTAACAGTTTGACTAATGGTCGTGGGTCGTGGGTCGTGGGTCGTGGGTCGTGGGTACAAGTCGTGGGTCGTGGGTGTGGGTGTGGGTGTGGGTAAAAGTCGTGGGTGTGGTTAATACTTAATAATAAAAATAACCATTTAAAATATTAAATATAATAATACATAAATTTTATACAACCCTGTCATTCATTAATTTAACTGTTCTTTCTTCTAGTTATTTTATTTTGTTTATTCAATTTACCCTACTTTACGTCTATTTTTATCTGTTATCTCACTGTCAATGAAATTAGTTTCAGTTTCGCGACGCATTCCGAGATCTCGTTTGATAACAAAGGGAAGAGAGATAAATCTTGTAATTACACACTGTNTTAGATCCTTAACTTTCACGCGATTGACTTTACTTTCCTTTAGTATCTTCGCCTGAAGCCATTTTCTCATTTCACTTGAATCAAGTACATAATGTTTTCCCGACTTGAGGCAGTCACGAACACGTGCGATGAGGTCTGCTCGTTTCCCGCTTAATTTCAAGCCTCTACACTTTAACCAACGCTTCGATTGTGTGTTTGTATTGTTCTCTGGGTCTTGCTCGAACTTTGAGCCAGGAACACCGTCGTTTTGATTTATAATACGAGCTTTACAGACGTTTGAACTACAGATGGGCGCATCATCGCCCATATTCCTTTACTCGAGAAGCTTGATTGTTTGTCCTAATCGCTCTGGGGGGGGGTCAAAATTTTGTGACGTCACAAACGCGCAGCGCCATTAGTACAATCTTAACATTTTCCTTCGTCCATTTAACTGGCCCGGTCGTTTTCTAAATCATAAAATAAACTAGATATGAAGAATTATTGAAATAATTAAATTAATAAGTAAAGAGGTTCTAATAATTTCAATTTTTAAACGATTCATTTCTTATCTGACAATGACCAGACTCTGCAGAGTTGCGAAATGTGACGTACTCAAGAAACATACGTTTCATTGTTCGTCGAGAAGTATTGCATTACTTCACGGTAACGAATGACAGTCATGTTTCACGTCTTGTTTTGAGACGCTTACAGGATAAATTTTTGGAAAAGAAGAATAACAACGGTTCAAGTGACGTTTCGCAAAAAAAGCCAGTCATTTCGCAATTTCCATGAAGAAAATGCGATTCAACGTTCACGGCGATATAACCAAATCACGTTTAAAACCAGCCAAATGGCCCTTCACGATCACGAAAAAACCCTTTTCCTCTACAAAAATAACAGTAATTGATTATTAGTAGTGGTGCTATTAACATTATTAAATATGAGCTCTTAACCATTAATTGTTATGTATTACCCACACCCACACCCACGACCCACGACTTGTAACCACGACCCACGACCATTAGTCAAACTCTTACCGCAATCTTTTGGTAAACTGAACTCAGTTTAACACACTAGTGTTAGCGTTTACGACAAATGATCGACAAGTTTATTGCGTTTTTGTTTATTCAGTCGATTTTGCCAAAGTTTAACCCGGGACAAATTTGTCGGCGGTGTGTTTCAAAGTTTATCCGCTCCCACCAAATTTGTCAAATCGCGACGAACCATCTGAACTTGTAAAGTGTTGGTGGTGACAGTTATGCGGATAGGCCCTTATTACTCATGCACTGATTTTATTCGAAGCACCGACGTGAGACTTATATTAGTTAAGGATTACTTCTTTAATCACTCATTTTGTTTGTTTTGGGCTTGCTCGCCGCGCAGCCCTCTGACTCTTGATATCTGAGTTAAAACCTATCAAAAGCTACTGAGCGAGTTAAGGTTCTCTTTTCGAGAGAAGTCGAGATCATCCGAATTACAAGTTTGGTATTAAGGGCCAGACTTTCCTTTCGAGCGAAAGAAAATAATCCTTCCTGCACGCAATCAACCAAATGACAAAAATCGGGAAAACTGCTCAGAAAAGCAACAGGATTTCGCCAAAATATCTCGATGATCATTAAGGAAAAATTAGAAAGAATTACCGGTAAAAAGTTATCTGTACGGCTTTGTACCCAAAATGCTTTCAGTTTAACAGGTACTTTAAACCAAACCAGATTCCTTGACCTTTCCAATTAATTTAGCATTACTAATACAAGTTAAATGGAACATCTTGAACCTTTAGTTTGCACAATACTCTCCGTAAGAAAAAATGTGAGCGAAAATGAGACCGGCCTCTTGGGAATTCTGAACGAAACCAGGCAGGAAATGAAAGAAGAAGAAACACAAGATAAGCATAACAAAGATGCCGCCAGAGGAAGTACCTCAGCAAGTGACGAGCCCTTCTACAGAAATGCTCAAAGATATCTTAATATCACACATCAACGACTTGAAAAACTGGAAAATCAGTCACGAAGTTTAATTGACGAAGTCAAACTCGTAAGAAAGATGTCAGAGAACTTCTCACACACCACGTTGAAGGTTAGGCTCACAGCAGTCACCAAAGCTATATATTAAACTATAAAAAGGTGATGGTTTTTCATGTCTTCATTAGCAGGGCGAAAAGCATCTACATCTACATCTACTTTATTACTCTTCAACGCTATTACACATCAAGAAGAGATAAAAGAATAAAAATATAAAAATATAAACATAGCTAATAAAAATAATAAATAGATAAAATATGTAATTAACAATATAGCTATGCTTAAACTTAGAAAAATTTTGTACTGCAAAAAGCTTAATAATTAAGTGATCTAGTTCCAGGTGATAAACAGTTCCAGTCCCTTATAGTTCTCGGAAAGAAACTATACTTGTAGTAGTCATGATGTACAGGTGGTTGAATAAATGAATTCGTCGAGTAATTTCTAGTTTTCCTAATAGACAATTGATAATAAGACGGGATAGGCAAAGCAATACTATTGTTCACAGATTTATGGAAAATTTGTAAACGATGGGATTTTCTTCTCTCGCTTAGTAAATCCAAAGATAGGGATTTCTTCAAATTGGACACGCTAGTGTTATAACTATAATCATGTTTAATAAATCTCACTGCGCGACTTTGGATAGCTTCTAGTTTCTCCACTTGATTCTGTCTATAAGGATCCCATACTGCAGACGCATACTCTAAATGTGGCCTGACAAGTGATACATAAGCTGCACGTTTAGTTTCTTCAGAGCAGGCATACAAGTTCCTTTTCACAAACGCAAGTGAAGAGTTCCCCTTTTTAGCAATCTTGTCCACATGAGTGTTCCACCGCAGATCACTAGACAGCAAAACACCTAAATAATGATGTTGTCGAACAGATACTAGGGTTTGGTTGTAAAGAGTGTAGCCTTTAACACCGGGGATCTACTACGGAAAACAGACATTTTGTAGCATTTAGAAGGATTGAACAGCATCTGCCACCTATTAGCCCATTGGCCTAGCTTGCCTAGGTCTCGCTGTAAAGCCAAGGTGTCATCATGATGAGTGATTTTATGATACAATAAAGCATCATCAGCAAACAATCTTAGTGTACATCCTACCCCATTTTGCATATCGTTAATGAATAATAAAAACATTAATGGACCAAGTACCGTCCCCTGAGGTACCCCTGAAGTCACATCAACAGATTTTGAACTCACGCCATCAATTATGACACTTTCAGATCTACTAGTGAGCCAAGATTTAATCCAAGTAAGGGTGCTTCCCTGAATGCCATAAAACTGCAATTTGCTGATGAGGCGTTGATGGGGAACAGGAAATCAAGCTGAGAACAATAATCGTATGGTGGGTCGTTCAGTATGACATCGAAAATTCCATACTTTCGAGTAGAAATAGGTGAAAGTATGGGGGTGAATAGGGGTATGCAAATCCGCCGATCCGCTATAATTTCATAACAAATCCGGCAAACCGTTAAAAAAAAAATTGTGAAATCCGAATCCGTTTACTAGATATCACGTGGAAAGGTGAAAAACGCACCTAGAGCTGTTGTGTGTTGGCTAAATAATTTTTAAAAAACCTTCTCACACTTTTTTATAGGATCTTTAACTGCTAACTAAAAGATCTTCCTTTACATTAGAAATCTGTTGTTGATCCTGGCTTGTCGCCCAAAGTGTATCGTGGCTCCTGATAGGAAAGTGGACCGTCTGTCAAGCTTGAATCTCCATGCTCTGGTTCCTCGTCTTCGTCTGTACTTGAGTCGTACTCAGGACCTCCTCCACATCCTCGGAGTCACTCTCGCGTGGTTCAACTTCCTCTTCATCCTCGTTTACTTCAGGAGACTCCGAACCTTCAGACAAAGCCAAGTCGACTCTGTCTTCGGATATCTGAAGCTGTCTTTGGTAAATAATTTACGGCATCGTTCCATGCCTAGCCATGGTTGTTTCTTGACGGTTTGTTCTTTGCCGAACGGTAGCTCCATACGTTAAGGCGAAATTACACATTTCTTCCACTGCCTTTCAGAGAATTTTGCTACTGGGAGCTGTGGAAAAGAGAGAAGTGTAGCTAAGGTAATCTCATGCTCTGGGTCAGGGTACCAGGAGCTCTGGTCTCCTAATAAGCTGTTTTCTATCAATGGGAATTATACGTAGTCAAGAGTCGACATTTTGAATTAAGGTGATTTTCCATTGTAAAACAAGAAAAATCGTGATTCATTTTGTTTCAGCCTGAAGAGTGGAGTGAAGAGAGATATTTGACAAAACTGCGCATAAGTAGGAAAATCATACCTACTCCAATCCAGCCTAAAATGGTAAATAGTATAAATAAAATTCATTCTCACCATGGAGGTTTCGAATTAAATTGTTGGAAATTTTCTTGGATCTCCTGGTTCCGTAATATAATCATCATTCAGCAAACTTGTTCCAGCCATCGAGAGGTCGAAAAAGTATCTATTACCTGCAATGTAGAAAAGTTTTATGATAAATTCCATTTTTATCGTCATTTTCAGTATCATTATCATTAACATCGTTATTCTTGTTATCCATCATTGTTGTTGTCACTGTGATTGTCATTGTTGTTGTTTTTAAATTGTCGAGGTGACAAACAGTAATAGCAGTACGAGCATCATAGGACCACCTGGATTCAATGATACTGCTGGGGTTCCAGGATATATTGGTACTCAGGGCCCGCAGGACCATCTGGACCACCTGGTGTTCAGGGCCTTCAGGTTAATATTGGACCTGCCGGTCCTCCCGGAATTCCAGAATATAATGGTCCTCAGGGTCCTGCAGGGCCCTCTGGACTACCTGGACCACCTGGTGTTCAGAGCCTTCGTGGACCATCTGGGTACAATAGTACCCAGGGCCCACCTGGACCCGATGCCAGTTCCTGTCTTTTTAACGATTCCTCCAGCCCTGGCATGACACCAAATCCGAACGCGAGACAAGATGAGCAAGTGACGGAGTCAAACGTAAATTTACATCACCTCCTTACATATTGGGTACAGAGAAAAAAATAAATAGTTTGAATTGGAATTTTCTCACAGACCTTACTGAAAGAGGATTATTAGAAGGTTCTTCAAGTTCATAAAAGAACCTAAGAAAACTCCAAAGCTGTTGAACTTTACAAAATAACATGGATAAACATTTCTAAATTTTCTTCAATGTGTCGGTATAATTTTACTTGCAAAAAGAATACTAAACTCCTTCCTGGACTATCTGGGTACATTGGTACTCAAGGCCCACCTGGACCCGGCCAGTAAAAATCTCGAGGCTATAGGTTTTCGTTACAAAAAAAAACTGCTAGAACTGGCTGATTAGAAGCGGAAACGAGCAACTGTATATCGTGAAAGAAACAAGGTCGAAAGATTTTTCAACATCTACTTGAATTTACACAAATTTAGCTAGCGATCAGTTAGAAATTCTGGAACCTGTATGATTTTGATACAGAAACAAAGTTTATTGAAAAATACTTCTAGGATATATGCTATTATTTCAGAATTTACCCTATTCGCATGACTCAATTGTAATTCTAAACTTGATGAAAAACGAAAAGAATAACGAACTTACCCTAAGGAACGATGAAAACAATGTAAACTCAAAAAGAGCGAATTCTAAGTGACCTAAGAAAAATGTTTACAACGCAATATTCTGGGACCGAGCAATTTTATGAATGAGGAAAAATGACTGAATATCTTCTTGAATAGTAAAGATCTACGTGAGTCATCTGGACTGGGCGGGTTGTGCAAAAAAATTCATTCAAAAAGGGAAAGAATTTAGCTTATATCAGAGTAAGAAAGGGAAGAAATGTACCCCCTCTACACTAACTGCCTCTGCCTTCTTCTCACTTAAAATTATTGTTTTTACAATTTTCTTCCTTGTTTTTTTTTTTTTTCTTTGTTTTTACACCTTAGCGTATTTGAGTATTTTGCTGGTGTGAGAACTTGAGATAAATATGGATGACTCAAGGCGTCCTATGATCTCGAGCAGCTCATACATAAGCACAGATCGCAACTTCAACTTTACATTTTACGATTGTCTTCGGTATCAAATATGATTCCCTGAAGAAACGTAAGCAAATTCAGTATTTTTACCCCTTATAGCACGTTTGCTTTACGAATACATCTGATATAAGTGGAGGGAACCAGTGTGTGTTTGACTTCCTCTGAGAAACATAAACATGATGTGCCCCTTGTCTGCAGATTGCTGATAGACGTATCAAAACATTTATTTCATGCAAAATCTAAAAAAAGCGGGTGGATAACTTAGATCTACAGCGAGAGATCAAAATCTTTTGGTTAGATAATGCTTCCATCGTCATTTTATGTCAATTGCCCCATATACGTCATCGAATAAAAACACATCAGTATATCTTTTTAAACTAAGTTGAAAACTGTAAATTGGCCACCGTAACGAATAAAAAAGCTGACGTTTCGAGCGTTAGCCCTTTGTCAGAGCGAATGGAGGAATTGTGGGTTGTATGTGGATTTATGTGCAGAAAGCGGAGCTACGCCATTGGTGGGAACATGGCGACGAGAAATACGCGAATAAATTAGTGGAATGAAAAGCGTTCGTTGATACCTGTGGGATTAAGAGTGCCGATTTGAAAAATAAACTTTTGTTCAAGAGTTTTGCGGCTCTCCGTGTTGCCTAAATGTAAAGAAAGACTGCAGATTGCCATTTAGAATAATTGGGTAAATTAAAGTGTCTAGCGACTGGTTTTGATGCGTCCTTGTCATTCCTTTGTCGCCCGTAAGGCGAGTCAAAATACAAGTAACGAGTAAAAATACTCAGCGATGCGACTCACCAAAACTTCTAATAAGCTATTTATTATCCAACAGTCCAAGTTTTTATTTCAGTGCAAGCGAATTTTGCGGAT